CTTAGCAACTTACATTGACAAAAGGTCATGAAACTAATATAACTCTCTGTTACCATTTTAGACAATGATTTATAGAATGGACTAATAAGGAAAAATTTATAGGCCTAACCAAATCAACAATTCTTGAAGAAGAGAATATAAATACCAATCCAAATCATAACTATATGGTGGTTAGAGCTTCCTCTTAGATGACATGATGTAAGCTAGATAAGTAATCGAGAAAATTATTGTGAGTTATTAGATTCTAAAAAATTATCTTCCATTTTTAATGATATATAAAGGACTACACAGTTGATCATTATTGCTTATTTAAAATATGAAATTATATGCTCTTAGCAGCTTAGTAATAATCTTAAATTACATAGCCAAACAAATATTAGATGGTGGTTAATTTGCAGTCATAGCCATGACACTCACGATGTTAACTCATATAAGAATTTATTATGCCAAATAAATGATAAAACAAAAAATAATAAAAATCTTTAGGAGAAAATATGCAAATATATTGAAGTCTAGAGTTATTTAATAGGCAAGGATGCCATATTAGAAATGAAACATTTTGTAACTATAAAATAAGAACCAGAGTGATATGATGAAAGCAATTAAGATTTTATATGTTAGTGTTGCACCACCTCTAGTTGGTATATTATATCTTAAAATAATAGTAGTTTGTAATAATAACAAAAATATATCGTATTAAAAATTTAACTCAGAAATAGCTTTTCTAAAAGCGTGTAAAAAAAGAGTAGAAAAAATATCTAATTTATTACATCTTTTGTGGGATGAATAATAAGATGTTTAATTTTTAATAATATTTTTAAATAAATAGATGGCATTAAAGAATTAATTGCAAATTATTACTTATATTTATTATCAAAAGCATTTATAAAATTTATTAAAATATTAACTGTAATTTATCATACTAGTAGATAGCCCGTCAAAAATGACGGGGAATAAGATTTTTATTCATTTTTTACGATAGATGTCATGCCAGGTTCAAGCTCACAATATTAGGAAGCATCCAAGATCTTATAATTTAAAAAAAATTTATCAAACCCAGCTCTACCCTTGATAATTTGTAAAAGATATTCCCAAGTCAGGTGCAAGCTAATATTAATTTTGACATTCCAAGCCCAGTCCTACCCATTATAATTTTGAAAATTTTTTCCCGCCTCGGAGATAGTTAAATTTTTAATATCATCACATAAACGGGAAATATCTTATTTACCAATTAGTCTAATATGAAAAAAAAACATGTAAATTCCGCATTAAGGGAAACTGGGAAGGCCTGGGCAACCACTTATTATAGAATAATGACAAATAAAATAAAAATAACCGACTCTTATACTTTTTTGTAATATGATCAATTAAAATTATATCTAAAAAATATGTTGTTTATTATATAGGGTTATTGTTGTTTTTCAGATAAATTTAATGTATGTCTTGTATTTCTGAAATTATTTGTCAAAGAATTTGATAAGAGATATATATTTTTTATGTTAAGTAAAAAAAAATGCTGTCTATTTAAATTACAAAAATGCCATTAAACACTAATGAAACTTATATGCAAATTATTTATATATTTTTTAAGATATTTTTTTTTATTGACATATAAATTTAGGATAATTTTTTTAAAAAATAATGAGGATTATTTATTATGTATTTGATAAAATTAAGAGCAAATCCTTGTTGATGTTATATTTGAATGTTTATATATATTTTAAAAGATTACGCTATTTTTATATATTTCTTACATTTAATATTATCTTATGGAGGTCAATGTAATTGCATATTAGTAGAGGTTAAATTACATAATTATAAAAGACTATATATAGGAAACAATTTTATAATAAAGAATCTATTGTTTTGACTATAAAAAATGGCGACGAGATAAAAAAAAAATCTAAGTAGCGCGGTTTTCGGTCAAGTTTAATAATATATAGAATTATAAATTTTTTTTCTGTTTATAAAAAATAAAATTATATATATTTAGAAATTATGGATAAAATTATTCTCCAGGACTTTAAAAAGGAAGATTGTTCTATCGAGGACTACGTTGATAATATCAAATATATACTAAATATGAAAAATATTCCTCAAATTGACGCCACTTTAAAAAAATTATTTATAGCTTATGGAGGAATAAACATTATAACTGATATCAAAAAATTACTCTATCCTAGGAATATAGAGGAGGTAGGATGGATTGACATATATAAAATAGCAAAACAACTATATAAAGATGAAAGAACTATTTTGGCATCAAGAATTGATTTCTTTAGATTAAGTCGTGGGGCTACTGAATCCGTAATGAGCTATTTAAAAATATAAAGGAGCTAGCCCGAAGATGCAAATTTGAAGACAATGTAGAACTGAGAATTCGAGATCAATTAATCGCCGGACTAAAGATGTCACAACTGGATAAAGAACTACGATTAAGATATCCAGATACTAAAGACGAAGACCAACCGTTAAGCTTAAACAAAGTGGTAGAATTGGCTTTAGCGATGGAACGAGCTGACTTATAAATAATAATGCTAAAATGGTATATAAAATCAAAGAGCCGAATAAACATGATAAAAATAATCGGGTAAATCAACATGATAAAAATAATCGGCAGTATAATAATAATGATAAACGGCACTATCAAAAGGATAATAAAGCATATGTAAAAAGAGAACTAGTGCCCGGGTATAATAACTACCATACAAATAATAATAGTAATTGGAGAAAACCATGCTATTTCTGTAATCGGTTTCATGCTATTAGAAATTGTCCCGCCTACGGAAAATTGTGCTGCAAATGTAGGAAACCAAACCACTTCGCCGTATGTTGTAAAGCTAAAGAAAAGATTTACGGAACAAATTACAATAAAGAAGACGATTCGGATGTCTCAATAAGAAAAATATACAAATATGGGCAACATCCAACAATTGAGGTATTAATAAACAACCAAAAAATTAAAATGGAATATGATACTGGCTCGGCAGTAACCATTATTAATGAAATAATATGGAATAAAATCGGAAGGCCAAAACTTAGAAGAGCTAAAGCACCAACTACATATGGAAATAATAGAATAAAAATTATGGGTGAAGCTGATGTAAAAGTACAATTAAATAATAACATAAAATGGCTTCCATTATTAGTCACACAAACAAATGATGCAGCTCTATTTGGATTTCCATGGATTATCGAATTTGACTTATCGTTACCAAAAAATGTAAAAATCAATATGATCAACAATAGATATAAATACAATGATAATGGTAACGTAAATATTCACAAACTATATAAAGAATTTGCTACGGTGTTTGATAATAAATTAGGATTAATAAAAAATGTCGAACACAGTAAAACTACAATTGGAAGAAAATACAAAACTAATTGCACTGCCCGCTAGAAGAGTACCGTTGCCTTTAAAAGTAGAAATTGAAAATGAACTGAAACGTTTGGAAGAAAATAATATAATCAAGAAAATAGATCCATCAACAACAAGAGTAACCTGGAGTACTCCAATGGTAGTGGTACGTAAAACGTCAGGTGAACTACGATTATGTGGAGATTTCAAAGTAACGTTAAATAAATTTCTACTAAAAGACTATCACATTCTACCAACGTTTGAAGAATTAATAGCAAAAATAGCCAATGGAAATAAATATACATTAGATCTCAAAGATGCATACCTACAAATGAGCATTGACGATGAATCACAAGAATTATTAACAATGGTAACACCAAATGGATACTACCGCTATTTACGATTACCTTTTGGTATAGCTACAGCACCAATAATATTTCAACAATATATGGAAGATTTACTGGCTGATTGTTAAGATACAGCAGTTTATTTAGATGATGTTATAATCACAGGAAAAAATGATACTGAACATATCGAGAATATAAAACAAGTCCTTAAAAAATTACAAAATGAGGGATTAAAAGTCAAAACAAGCAAAATAAATTTTATGAAAGAAAAAGTATCATATTTAGGATACATAATAGATCAAAATGGAATACACCCTGATAAAAATAAAATAATAGCAATACAAAAATATCCAACGCCAAAAGATAGACATGACATAAAATCATTTTTAGGTATATTAAACTATTATACACGGTTCATACCAAACTTACATGGAATCATAGCCGAATTACATAATAAAACTAGTAAAAATGTTAAATGGAATTGGACTAAAAAAGATGATGCGTTATTTGGAAAAGCAAAAGGAATAGTAACAGAACACAATACTATACAATTTTATAAACCGGATCTTGAGTTAATACTAGAAACAGATGCATCGAACCAAGGATTTGGAGTAAATAAAAAATCCACTTGAAAAAGGATGGCATGAAGGAAAAATAATAAAAGATTGATAGACGATCTTAACTTGGTGGGAAAGAAGATATGTTATATTTGAATGTTTATATATATTTTAAAAGGTTACGCTATTTGAATTATATATTTCTTACATTTTATATTATCTTATTTATGGAGGTCAATGTAATTGTATATTAGTAGTAGTTAAATGACATAATTATAAAAGACTATATAGGAAACAATTTTATAATAAAGAATCTATTGTGACTATAAAAATAATCAATCATTACATAATTAATATTCAGAATATAATGTTTTATTAATATATTATATGCGAAATATTTAAAATCAACAATTATTAATCTATATTTTGAATGATTATTTTTAAAAAATCGTTTAAAAAGTATCAATGATTAAATAATTATTATTCTATCTAAGTATAATGTTTTATTAATATAATTATATATGAAATATTTAAAATAATTGTGTATATTACAAATAATAATTTTATATTTTGAAAAAATAACTTAAAAATAATATAACAATTATCATATAATTAATATTGTGTTTAAAAAGATAATAAATTTTGGTAAAGGCACGAGTGAATATAATAATATTCTCATGTGATTGTTATTACTGTAATGTCAATATTGAAATACATATTTTAGAGAAACGTGAATTTAATGAATAATGACTTGATATAATTTTATGTTAGGTGTAATTTAACAGCTGTTGAAGTTTATAAAATTACTAAAAAGAAAGGTGTGACATTTAGATTTAGAGGAATTTTTGAATGGTTCCGAAGAATAAAATATTGTAATAATATGGGAATAACTTGAAAAAATTTTTCTAGCAGATTCTTTTAAGGTCATATAACTTTAAATAAATTATATTAATAATGTTATATAGTGATGGTTAGATGAAATTGCTCTAATTTGTGAGACCAGCTTCCAGACACATTCCATAAAATTGGCCACGTTTATTTTGCAATAAATTTGAAGGAATATCGAATTCAACATTTCTCCCATGATCGAGTACAAGGATTCTAAAATAAATTCATCAACAAATAGTTAATTGATAATTAGGGCAAAAGACCATAAGAGAAAAATTTATGGGATATGATCGTAGAATTTTTTTGCGAGTTGTTTGAGTAATTCGCAATGTTTCCTCATTCTTTTTAAATTTATTAAAAAACACATTTTTCTTCTCTCTGAATATCATTCTTTATTTCCAATTAAGTAGTAAGGCTGTGTCATAAATCAACTTATTTATTACTTGACTAAACAGCTTTTGAACTAGTACACCTATTTTGATCTGTTTAAGTATTTGGTGGCATTGTTATTTTTAGTATTTTTTTCTTACTTTTTAGTCTGTTTAGCCGAAGCTAAATAAGTCGAACATGACACACTTTATGCACTTTTTTACTAATTAGATTAGTAACTTAAGTAATTGTTTACTTATCGTAATCGATGATGGTATTGAGTCTGTGAGCTATAGTGAGGACCGTACAATGTGCAAACTTATCAACAATGGTCTTTTGAATGAGCTCATCTGTTTCCAAATCAACAGCCGCCGTGGCTTCGTCCAGAACGAGAATCTTGGATTTTCTCAGCAAGGCCCGGGCTAAGCAAACTAGCTGTCGTTGTCCCAAACTTTTTTTAATAATCCGATAAATTGAGTCTTTATATAGCATTTCGAATAGATATGATGTAATTATATATTTATATAAATTTAAGTTAAAAGAAACCTCAAATTTTCCCCGTATTCAGCAATTTCGTGATCGATTCCTAGGGGCAAATTAGATACGAAAGAGTGTAAGTGGGCGTTTCTCAAACTTTCCCATACTTCGATGTCCGTTTTTTCGTTAAATGGGTCCAGATTGAACCGTAGGGTGCCAGAAAATAGGATTGAATCCTTTGTGATATAAAAGATGATTTTTTTTTATAAGTAGGAGTTACCTAACTTCACCCTGCATTCTTTTTTTAAAAATAATTTTGGGTTATCATTAAAAAAAATGTTAATCAATATAGAATATTAATTCAATATCATATTATATATATAGCGATATTCTTCAAACATATAATAATGACAATATTTTTCCAATATTAAATAATGGTTGATTTCTTCAAATACAAAAATAATAACGATATATCTTCAGATATAAAATAATTGCATTCAAATATAAAAATAATAACGATATTCATCAAATATAAAAATCAAAATGTCGATATATAATTGTTAATTAAATCCATTAATGACCATTATTAATATTTAATAACGCTTTAATAATTCGGATTACAAATTTTATAATGATCGTCAATATGTAAAAAAATAACCAGCTTTTTCTTCGTTACCACGATATTTATTTCTTTTACATAAAGTAAATAAAATACTTAGTCAACGACAGGTTCAATTATTTATTTATATATTTCTTTTTCTTTTAATTAGGCAAATATAACAGGTTTCACTCGTTTTTTGTTTTGTTTTGTTTTATCTGAATTTTTTTTAATTATAACTAGGGGTGTACCAATATCACTTTTTGGAGGCCGATCCGATCCGATATTCCCAATATTAAATTAATATCGGCCGATTACAGATCCGATATCATATCTAATTTTGTATTCTGTAAAGATACCAATGGTTTTAATTTTTAATATACTTTTTTATTATTATAACACCTATAATTTAACTATACCATAACTTATGTCATTTAAATGTATTTATCAGTTATAGTTTATATACAATTCAATAAAATATTTTTATTGTTAAATCACTTTTATATAATAAGTAACTCATTAATTTATATACATAATAAGTAATAAACAAATATATATGAATATGAAATAAATATTTAAAATAATATTTAACATTAATATATCGAACGGCTTCACTAAAAACTGATTCTGAAGAGATTATCGCACACTTTTATAAACAGAATACGCAAAAAATATAACAATATGGCAGAATGTTTATTAATATTATTAAAAAAATATACGTAAAAATGGATTTAGATTTTATTTATAAAAATAAATGATTTTAGATATAACTCTTTTTAAAAATTTTATTTTTGTTAAAGACGCCATTTCATATCGAATCGGATCGAAAAATTTTACAATATTGGGCGATAACCGATATTTTAAAATTGGGGAAATATCGGCCCGATCCGATCCAATTAAAAATATCGGTACATCCCTAATTATAACCGATATTTTAAATATATTTACTTTTAAATTATTGTTTACAAATTATGATATGTGTATTATTATTGAGGAGAGGGGGTAGGATGGCCCTGTTTGCTATACCTTCATATATTATACAATTTACAATGAAGTGAGTGGAAGCGTGTGAGCATTGATGTTGTTAGCTCTTGCCACAGATGTGGTCTAAAGAAACATTTCGTTCAAATAATATGCAAATGTTCATAAAATATTTAGACATAATAAGCATGATTTTGATTCTCCATAGCAATACTATTTTTTCATGTAATAAAAAATTTAATATTATTTTATATTTTCAAATGTTTAGATTGAAAATAAAATTAGTTTTAATAATGCAAGTCTAAAACGTCGCTAAAATTATAATATTAAAGGTACAAAATACGAATTCAAGGCATATGAAATTGACCTTTATATAACTATTTATTTGGATAATTCAAGAAATTAGGAATGCAACTCATAACTAACTTCCTTTAAAAAAAACAAAGAACTAAATTCTTTTTTTGAAATGTTAAATTGGGAGATATTTCCATTTAAATATATTTGAAACAAAATATATAAGTAAAAATTAAATCATTCTGTTACCTTTTATCACATAATATTTGATTATCAGAATTAATAAAGTGAGTTATAGTGGAAAATATGTATTTTTAAAATATGGTACTGAATTTTACATATTTAAGTAAATGCATAAAGAATCAAAAGGTATATAGTTATATAATGTTATAATGTATATAATTATTTTTACCCTACAAATATGATTTTTAAAAAAACAAAACATTATAGTTTTTTATAATGCTTAATTATACATTAAAATAAGGAAAACCTGAGGTATTATAGTAATCCGACTCCTAATATCGTGTAACCCGAGTTTACTGATATCAATTCCATCAACGTATATCTTAGATATTTTCGGGGTTTTAGAAACTTTGTAAATTTCGTTTTCCATAAAATTTGTGGAAGAATCGTCAGCCTCCACTATGCGAAACAGGGCTGCTGTTATACTAGATTTTCCGGCTCCAGTGCGCCCCACAATTCCCACCTTAGATTCAGCCTGCACTTGGAAGGATATATCGTTGAGTGCCGGAGGTAGGGCAGAAGCGATCATGGCCGCCGAATGATACCGCATGGTGTAATGAGAAAATTCAATGGAGCCTCTAGAGGGCCAATCAGCAGGCGGTTTATGGTCAGGAATTATCCAGAGGGCCTTCAAAAATATTTTTTTAAAAATTATATGATATTCATTTTTTTTTAGGAATTCACCAAAGCTGGTACATAATAACAAAATTAATCTTGGGCTGAGATTCCAATATTTTCAAATAATAAGAGAACGCAACTAAATTATATTAATTTATATTTATATAGTCCTAAAATAATGTTAAGCATGACTTAGATATTCCATATATTTAAATCTTTAATTTTATTATCAGGCAATAATGTATGAGTCTATATTCTTTTTATAATTCCAAGACATAACTTCATTCATTGTTTTCTTGGCACATGATTTATAGAATCTTTACTTGCAATTTTCTAAAATAATACTTCTGTAGGGGTATCAGAGTATTCGGCAATCCTCTCCACAGCGACTATATTAGTTTCCAAATCACAAGTCATTCTAACTAGCAAATTAAGAGCTTGGGTTACACTAAGAGCATAGCTTAACGCCAGTCCAGCTTGGCCCGGTTTAATGTTATCTCTGTTGAGAGCTATGGTTAGCGCAGCGAAGAATACGATAAAACTACCTATGAACTCGAGTCGGACTGCCAGCCATCTTTTATATTTTATTACAGTAATTCATATTTGTTCAAAACAGAATAACTTTTATAATTTTTAAAGTTATTGGGATCAAGTTTTTATTTCTCAAGCCTAGAAAAGTGTTAAATTACTCAAGGTGTAACAAATAGAAAAAAATCGAACAAAATGTGCCAAAGCCTATATTTTTGTCCATCCTAATTTTATTAGGTTAAAGCTTGGTCAATTTTTACTTAGTTATAAACTCGAGCCCAATTCCGAGACGCGACTTGCAAGGTTCTAACCAAGAGCCCAAATGATAAAGTTTTATTCAAAATATTAACATAAAAATTTATGTATATTGAAAAAATAGGTCAAGCGTTATTAATTGAACTTTAACAATGTGATTAAAATATGAAATCGTAAATAGAGCAATATATTTTAAAACTACAAATATTATAAACTCATAATTAGTGTTGTCGACTCTGAACTCGAGCCGGAGTCGTAAAAAACGGCTCAGACTCGAGCGGCTCAATGAGCGTTTGAGCTGACATTATCTTTAAAAATATATTATATATAAAAGAAATCAAATTCATAAAGAATTATACAAATTATTATTTTATATTTAAAAGATACTTTTTAAATGGATCTAAATATAGATACTTATATTCAAAAAATTAATCTTTGAACCTTTCGTATTCGGATGCATTTAAAATCGGCGGCAAATATTTTTTCTTAATCCTAGGATCAAATATACCGCAAACGTAATTAGGAAATGATGCCATATAAATAATAAATATTTTTTTCTCTATCAATAAAAAAATAACAATTGTTCTTAAAAATACCCCTCCCCCTCCTTCCTTTGATTTAATTCTTTTTTTTTACACGAAAAAAGACATATATATCCCTACCTAATATAACCCTTAAAAATGATAAGGTTTAAGATTTTAATTTTCAATTTTAACAGTTTCCTATTCCTATAACATAAACATGATCCCTGTAAACTTATTTAATGTTGGAGATAAGAAGATAAGATATAATTTATTAAAGTTGGAGATAAGGAACATAAGATATATCTATATTTAACCAAATACACATATATACTTCTAATTAAATTGTATAATATCTTAGATTTTTTAACTTTAAAGTTAGATTTGTATCTTTCCTCTTTTAATTAAGTATCTAATATAAAATGGAGGAAATAAGCACACACATTTTTTTAAATTTATTATATCACCTTAATAACAATGTTGTTCCTTAAGTATAAGAAGTTTTAAGTAGTTAATTTACGTATACACTTTCTATAAGGAACTGATCATATTATTGTCAAAGGCTTAAAGAAATTTTATTGTCTTGGATTCAAATTAAATATACAAAATTTATATCAACTATAAATTGTTTCTTCAAAATGTCTATTCCGCCAATATTGGAAATTATTCTATCATTTTATTAATCCTTTGACGCCGGTAACTTATAACTTTCTAATTGTTGTTATATTTTTATTATTTTAATCTTTGTGCCAATGATTGTATTTTTTTATTTTCTCTCTCATTTTATATTTCATTTCTTAAGTCTTAATCTTTAGACATGTTTTATGATAACTTATTATTTATTTTTATATTTTTGATAACTTATTATTTACTTTTTATATTATTTTTATTTTTCGTTTTTATACATTACATTTTATATTATTATTTGTTGTTATTTGATTTGAACATATCTGATATCTCATGTTTTTTCTTTCGGATTTCGGAAATGTCTTTTTTTCCTTTCAACATATCATTAACAGACATTGATAAAAAAAAAGAAGAATAGAAATAAAATAGCTTAGTAATGCCTGTTTTTCCCACCCACCATAGGCGTAGCCAAGATTTTCCTAAAGGGGGGATTATAAAATTTCTGAAGGCTTCGCCTCCAGGCCCCATTTTGGGCGGGCCTTAGGTCCGCTTTTACCAGGCCTTCGGGGCTACCTTAATCTATATATAGTCATAAAATATTTTTGCAAGAGAGGTTTAACAAAAAAAAATAAGCCTGGAACAAATATGAGGTATTTTTTAGTAGTTTATATGAAATATATTTTTATTAGTTTATATAAAATATAATAAATTACTTGCGTAATAAATTTTATGAAAGAAAAAGTATCATATTTAGGATACATAATAGATCAAAATGGAATACACCCTGATAAAAATAAAATAATAGCAATACAAAAATATCCAACGCCAAAAGATAGACATGACATAAATTCATTTTTAGGTATATTAAACTATTATACACGGTTCATACCAAACTTAAAACTAGTAAAAATGTTAAATGGAATTGGACTAAAAAAGATTATGCATTATTTGAAAAAGCAAAAGGAATAGTAACAGAACACAATACTATACAATTTTATAAACCGGATCTTGAGCTAATACTAGAAACAGATGCATCAAACCAAAGATTTGTAGCTGTACTCTTGCAAAAATATGATAATGGTAACGAATACCCTATAGCTTACACCTCGAGAACTTTACAAGATGCTGAAAAGAATTATTCGACAATCGACAAAGAAGCCAAAGCCATAGTAAACGGCGTAGAAAAATTTCATAACTATTTGTATGGACAAAAATTTAAAATACGAACGGACCATAAACCTTTAATAAAAATATATGGGGATAACAGAGATTTAAACGCCTTAACAAACCAAAGATTGTTATGTTGGGCTTATAAATTATCTGCATATGATTATGAAATAATGTATAAGAATGGTGCAAGTAATATAATTGCAGATGCTTTATCGCGAAACCCAATAGAGAAAAATGATAATAAAAACAAGTGAAAATAAAACAGTGAAATATATACGAAATCTTACTTATGACACATTAACTCTATCAAGAAAAGAACTTAGAGATGAAACTGCTAAAGATCCAATTTTAAAAAATATTATTAAATAGTACAAATATACAAAATCAAGCACCAGAATTGCAAGCTTTTAGAACAAGAATAGATGAAATAGAAAATGATGACGGCATCCTATTTTGGAATGGTCGCTTAATAATTCCATATTCACTACAAAAACGAGTATACATACAGGCCATCCCGGTATTACATCGATGAAATCCATTATGAGACATTATATATGGTGGGAAAAATTAGATAAAGATGTCGAAAAATTAGTCAACCGCTGTATTGGGTGTCAAAAACATCACATTGCATATTAGTAGAAGTTAATTGACATAATTATAAAAGACTATATATAAGAAACAATTTTATAATAAAGAATCTATTGTTTTGACTATAAAATAAATAATAAGTTATCTAAAAAAATATAAAAATAAATAATAAGTTATCATAAAACATGTCTAAAGATTAAGACTTAAGAAATATATAACAAAATGAGAGAGAAAATAAAAAAATATAAATCACTGGCACACAGATTAAAATAATAAAAATATAACAACAATTAGAAAGTTATAAGTTACCGGTGTCAAAGGATTAATAAAATGATAGAATATTTTCCAATATTGGCGGAATAGACATTTTGAAGAAACAATTTATAGTTGATAATTATATAATTTCATTTGAATCCAAGACTTAATAAAATTTCTTTAAGCCTTTGACAATAATATGATTAGTTTCTTATAGAAAGTGTATACATAAATTATCTACTTAACTTCGTATACTTAAGGAACAACATCGTTATTAAGGTGATATAATAAATTTAAAAAAATGTGTGCTTATTTGGTCCATTTTATACTAGATACTTAATTAAAAGAGGAAAGATACAAATCTAACTTTAAAGTTAAAAAATCTAAGATATTATACAATTTAATTAGAAGTATATATGTGTATTTGGTGACATATAGATATATCTTATGTTCCTTATCTCCAAATTTAATAAATTATATCTTATCTTCTTATCTCCAACAATAAATAAGTTTACAGGGATCATGTTTATGTTATAGGAATAGGAAACTGTTAAAATTGAAGATTAAAATCTTAAACCTTATCATTTTTAAGGGTTATATTAGGTAGGGATATATATGTCTTTTTTCGTGTAAAAAAAAGAATTAAATTAAAGGAAGGAGGGGGAGGGGTATTTTTAAGAACAATTGTTATTTTTTTTATTGATAGAGAAAAATTTTTTAAAAAATATTTATTATTTATATGGCATCATTTCCTAATTACGTTAGCGGTATATCTAATTCTAGGATTAAGAAAAAATATTTGCCGCCGATTTTAAATGCATGAAAGGTTCAAAGATTAATTTTTTGAATATAAGTATCTGTATCTAGATCCATTTAAAAAGTATCTTTTAACAACTCTGGTGATTATATATATAAAATAATAATTTGTATAATTCTTTATGAATTTGATTTTTTATATATAATATATTTTTAAATATAAAATCGGCTCAGGAGTCGGCTCATTGAGCCGCTCGAGGCTGAGCCGTTTTTTATGACTAAAAACTCGACTCGAGTAGCGCCGTTTAATAACATTACTCATAATTCGGACGGGAGAATTCAATACCTATTAGATACTAGACTAGGGTAATAGCACATTTGATTTTGGTCCACGAGTCTATACGATTCTGTTATAAATTTATCCATAACTCCAAAGGCTCTAATAGTGGAAGCTCCTAGCAAAGTTTCCTGAAAATGGGAATATATAGGAGATGTGGATATGGATTCTAACCGTTTGAGCTGGCGAGAAGTAGGTATGTAAAATTTCTTATATATGTTTTTTAAGAGAACAGATCATAGAATAATATTTCTGATTATATTAAATCATACATACCAAAATGAAGAAATAAATGATGGCTAAAGGTACGACCGAGATCAAAAACATAGGAGTGCTCCAGCATATAACTAATAGTGTGGTTAGTACGGCGTAAAAATTAGTGAGCCATGAGCGTATGGTAGGAGGTAGGCTATTGTCTATTGTGTTCAAATCTTTAGAGAATCTTATTTTTAAAGGAAAAATTTTCTAGCGATTTATTATTTCTATTTAATTTTTAACGAAATTTTTTTTAGCAGATTATATTACAATTTATTAAAAAATGTATTTATATATCATTTTCTTAAGTCTCCATAAATAGGTTTATTGTAATTAGTACTGTTAAATCATCTTACTTTAGCCAACTTCAATATGGCTTAGCCAAGCTTTTAGTCTAAAGAATTGACTTAAACCTCTAATCTGAATTTCAGCTTGAGACTAATTTTTTAGGGCAAAAACTTGACCAGGCCGTTTTATAATTTGCTATAACCATACTATTTGTAATTTATATCATACCTATTAACTATCCTTCCTAGAGGAGTGCTATCAAAAAATGACAAAGGTGAATGAAGAATATTTCTTAATAATTTTTGGTGTAAATATCTGGAAGCGGCTACCATTGACAGGGCGACAATTACAATGCTCGCCATTATTGTGATGCCTAATTCAAAAATGTATGTTGAATAAAAAATTATTGTTGAATGTATTGGGATATGTTGCCTATGATCTATACTTTATCAATAGTATACTGGAAATTTGATGGAAAAAATTCCATATTTTTTTAATTTATTTGCAAATAAAATTATTTAACTCGCAAAATGTTAAACTAACATATTAAAATTCTTAGATTTTTGCAAGTTAAATAATTTAATTTGCAAGTAAATCAAAAAAATATGGAAATGTTTTTTGTCAAGCACAACACTGTATATCATAATATTAAATATTAGTATGTATTTTCTTTCTTTATTAAGGTTTCCTATATGCCATAATTAGAAGTAGAGCTGGTTTACAATAACAATATTAATACTAATATTATGTTAGTATTGGTCTTAATTATTATCATTACAACTTAGAAAAGAATAAAAATCTTTATTTTATTTTATAAAAGGTCTTAGCAGTGTCTAAAAAAACATAATCATTTTTAAAAAGTGAATCTTATTCATAAAAAAGGTTTTCAGGGTCAACATTATTTACGTTTAGATTATCTATATCATTGAGTTCATTATTTCCGAAATGAAATCTATGAGTTTAATTACACTGTGTGACAAGAAAAAATGGGAGAAGAAAATAAAAACAAGTTTTGGTGCTGAATTTGACGCTGAGTTCGAATCCGTTTTCCAAATTTTCCCTACACGTCAAGTTTTAAAAATTGCACCGTATAAAGACAACTTTTCGAAATCTCAAAAATGGTAAAATTTAGGTCTTTATACGGATATATTTTAAAAAGTACGGAATAAAAATCGCTGAAAATTGGTGATAGTGTTAGACTTATATTTCTTTATAAATTTACTAATTTTTATAATTTTTTATCGATTGGTTTTTGAGAAAAATGGTAAAGAATTTCGTTTTGGGGGTCTTTAGTTTTCAATTTAAATTACTATCAAAATTATTTACTTTAGAAGATAAATTTTATTTAATTTTGCTTCAAATATGCTCAAGATTATATATTAATTTTAATTATGTTTCAAAAGTACTCTATGCCATGAAAATTCAACCAAAATCTATAAATTAAAAAAGTCGGTACAGATATTTTCGAACTTTTTAATTTGTACGCTTTTATTGAATTTTCTCTGCATAAAGCACTTTTAAAGCAAAATTAAGGTAATATTTATCTTAGTTGTATTTAGTAATATTTTATGCATTTATGATCAATTTATACCAAAATCAGATATCTGTACCCACTTTTTTAATTTGTAATCTTTTTGAATTGAGCATTTTTGAAGCAAAATTCATTTAAAATGCAATAATTGATAATTTTTTCATATTTTTTATTAATATTTATCTTTTTTAGATGTATATAAGAATATTTGTTTTTTTAATCAATTTATATCAAAATATATGATTTTCCAATGGAGTACCTTGAACCCTTTAGTATGGGCAATAAATAATGCCAAATAACGAGTAGGAAGAAAGGAGAAGAATTATTTTTTTTCGCGCTTAATTTTTCATAAACTTTTAATTTCTTTCATTAATTTTTTTTTAAATTGGATTTTAAATATTATTCAAATTCCCTCCTTATATAATATTCTACAAAAAATTAATGCCGAGGTCCCCTTGTTTAAAGTGTGTCTCTAAATTTTGTTACATCTGTGCGGGTTATATATTGCCCGCACAAAAATGTCCAATTTCTCCAATCATTCAAAGGATTTATGAAATTTATTACAATATTCCACTCTGCGATTTGGATAAACCATTTGCCCCTAATTACATATGTAAAACATGTTATAATTCTTTTAATTCATGGGTAAATGGAAAACGATCATATTTGCCTTATTCGAAACCTGCATTTTGGCACGTAGCAAGAAATCATTCGTGGGATTGTTATTTTTGCTCGATTAGTACATTTGGGTTTAACAAAAAAAATAAGAAGGAAATTCGTTATCCTGAAATTTTCGGTCGTTTATCCGATAAAATATAATATGCATACAACAGTTACTTTTTTTAATAGTTGGCAGCTGGAAAAATTACGTTGACAGTACAATGACAATATTGATCTTGAGTATCATCCAGAAGAGGATTCGCCATTTATGTCACAAGAGCAACTAAATGACATAACCAGAAATTTACAACTTTCAAAAAGAAAGTCCAAATTTTTAGACTCAAGGCTTAATGATTTTAAAATTTAAAAAAATGGAGTTCAAACTTCATACCGATTCCGTGGAGCACCGTTTAAAAATGTATTCTCTTACGAAAATTTTTTATACTATTCCAACAATCTAGGTCAACTTTTTTTACAACTTAATATTGAATTGGTGCCCGATGAATGGCGCTTGTTCATCGATTCAAGCAAAAATAGCTTGAAAGCAGTTTTGCTTCATAACGGAAATTCTAAGCCATCAATTCCCATCGCCTATTCCAACCAGTTAAATGAATCATATGAAATATTTATTGTCAAAAATAAATTATTCCATTTACGAATTTAAGATATGCTGCGATCTCAAAATGATCGCAATCCTGACGAAAGTAAAATATGAGATGGGTTAACTTAGCATAATATATTTATTGAAATATGAGAAATATAACTATTTCATTTAAAATAAATTGTTTGGGAATCGTACCGTGTGCAATGTAGCGAAGAGAACGAAAGCCACAATAAATAAATATATTAAATGTAAGCTATATTAAAAAAGATTTTATAAATAAAGGTAAAATAAAAAAATATAGGTTTAAAAATTGAGTAAGGATTTTTTATAAAAAAAAAATGTATAATAATAATAAGGAAGGTTTGTTGCAAAAATTAAGATATTTTTTTAGTTGTAAGGATCATTAGAACCGAAGTTATAAACCTTCAAAAAGTACTAAAAATGGCTTTTTTGGCCACTTTAACCTAAAATAAATAAAAAAACCTGACGTGCTGGAAAAAACTGACAGCGGATTTAGAATATGCATAAAAAACTGTCTTAAAACATGTTTATTTTATTTTCTCCCAAAAAATCAAGTAGAAATTTGTCACACAGTGTTATTTATTATATCCTAAATAATTAATTGATATCAATGTATTATCTCCAATGATACATGAATATTACTGTCATAGATGTTAGACTTTATAATAAATAGATAAAAGATCGAAATATCATTTAATATTTCTAAAGAAATAATTATTATAAGGTCTGCAAAGCCCGCTTTGGCCCGTCAAGAATTTTGGCATAAATTTTCCAGCCTGGCCCCAGATTTTTTTTGCCAGGTCGGGGTTGTTAAAGTTTTTTTTGAAATTTGCTTGGCCCGACTCGCTATTATCTTTCAAAAAATTGCCCAGCCCGTAAAAATAAAGAAAATCAGCTGGACCCGTTAAAATTTTACAAAAATTCTGGCCCAAGTTAATTTTTTACAAATTTTTATCAATATAAATTTTACCCAATGGAAATTAAGGTTCTTATATCTTTCTTATAAGGGTAGCCCTACTTACAAGTGTAATACATAATGTTGCTATTATAGATATATATTCAAAATCAACTGCGATCTTAAAATATAATCCTTTAAATCAGAAATCTGAATTACTAATTAATTTGGAAATACTCAATCTTGGTAATTAACCTTATCACTTATAATAACCTTAAATCCATTTCTCAATTTAGAATAAAAAATTAAATACCTAGAAATTCCCAAATATCTCCATAAAAAGAAAGAAATATTAAATAAATCGTTCTGTGAATAAAATCGAAGCCAAGTAAAAGATTACCTGACCCCTCTTTAAAAAAATTAATTAAGCCAATATTTTAATCTATCTCTGAATATGTTTTCAAAACTATTTATGTCCCAGAAAATAATTTTATATGGCCGCCTATATTTGTAATACAAATATATGGGGGTTTCATAGAAAATATTTCAAAACGTGTGGGCTCCGCGGGTTAGATATTATATAGGGGTCATTCCATGTCAAATGAGCAAAAAATCAAGATTTTCGGCCAACCCCTTTCAATTTCGATAAAAAGTTGTAGACTGGTTATATATGTTCTCATTAGATTATAAACAAAATTTTAGCGCATTAGCAACTATATTAGTGGAGATAATCGGGGTTATAGAGGTCCAAAAAAAGTCTTTTTTTGCTTTTTACTTATGTTAAATAATTAGTATTTAATTTAAAACTAAATATGATCAAATATTGAATCTAATATCAATAGCTAAGTTAATAATTGGTAATTATGGCGAAAACATCAAAATTAATTTTTTTTAAAAATATAAGCCATCTTATGGTCAGTTGAAAATTTGAAATTAATATTTCGAAATGAATATGATCTCCGATTTTTAATTTTTTTAAGAAATATTATCCGTTTACTATTTTTTTAATAATTTCTTCAACAATTAGCATAGCTGGATATTTATTTAAAAAAATATTGCGATATTTATACTTTAAGTTTTAATAGGTTAAAATTCATTTTTTTATTGATTAAAATTTTTTAATGTATAATATATCATAAAATTCGATTAAATAACTTTATAAATCTTATTCTCCTGAGATATTCGCAGGATAAAAAAATTTAATAATCTTTTTAATATTTCAATGTAAATTAAAAATAATTAAAAAATCCGACTAGCACATGAACAAAAAGGCAGGATTAAAGGAGTGCAGGAAAATTATTAAAATTATTAATGGAAAAATCGAAAATCACATTAATCACCAGACCTATCCCCCACCCCCCCAGACTAAGTCATACCCATCAAGACCAAGAATGATATGAAATTGTCATTATCTTAAATTATAAAAATAACCAGAGATAAGGAAAATTTCGAAGATTATCCCCAATAACCCATAATCTGGATGCCTTTGAATCGATTAATGAAACATTACACAATATTGGAGAATCACCAATTAAAAGAAAACGTTTAATGGAGGAATATCCTAAAAATAAAATTCAAAATTGAAAAAGCAATAAAAAGGTTTTAGAAATATCTGATTCCGAGATTGATAGTCCAATGAAAGAGAAAATTCTTATTATATTAAAGGATAACTTTGATAAATTATCAAAAAATCAACAATATCAAATTCTTACAATTTTGCCTCAAAGATGGAGTGTAAATAAAATTCAAGCGGAATTCAACGTAACATCTTATATGGCAAGAAAATCCAAAATGGTGGTAAAAGAAAGTGTAATTCTTTCATTCCCAAAACTAAGGCAGGAAAGATACTAAACGAAAAACATTTAAACTCGTCAAAGATTTTTATTCTGATGAAATAAGCCGACTCATGCCTGGAATAAAAGATTATGTATCTGTTAAAGACGAGAAAGAACCAGTCCAAAAAAAACTTATATTAAATAATCTTAAAAAATATGCAAGATGTTTAAGGAGGAATACCCAAATATCAATTGGATTCTCTAAATTTGCCGAACTTAGACCAAAAAACTAACTGTATTTTAGTTGGAGCTAGTGGCACACACACTGTTTGTGTCTGCGCCATTCATCAGAATGTGGAATTAATGACAAATGTAATAGCTGAAATTACAGTAGGAGAAAATTACTGTATAAATTCTTATATCTTTTAGGGCAAATTATTTGTAATCAATCTCAGCCAAAATGTTATTTAACAAATTGTGATCAATTCCCTGGTATAGAATCTCTTAAGGGCCAATTATACCAATTGTTTCATAGAAATCGTATAGAATATGTCACGTTTAAACGATGGATCATGGTGGATAGAGCAAATCTTGAAACTATTATAAAGTCCGTTGATGATTTCATCGAATATCTATTAGAAAAAGTTCAAATTTTACTGCGTCACTCGTTTGAAGCTAAACAACAAATTTTATTTTCAAAGAAAATTTAAAAGATGGGGAATTTTTAACAAATCTAGATTATTCTGAGAATTATTCCTTCATTTTACAAGATGAAGTTCAGGGATTTCATTGGAACAACGTGCAGACCACTATATATCAATTTGTAGCATATTATAAATCTGGAGAAGATTTAAAAAATATAAATTTTGTTATTATATCCGAATCATTAAACCATAATACTAGTGCAGCCCACCTTTATCAAATAAAATTTATTAATTTCTTAACAGCCAAATTTAATTCTAAACCAGAAAAAATAATATATTTTTCAGATGGAGCCGCGTCTCAATACAAGAATCGCAAAAATTTTCTGAACATATGCCTTCATAAATACGATTTTAATATTCCTGCCGAATGGCATTTCTTTGCCACTGTTCACGGTAAAATGCATGTGACGGTATCGGAGGATATGTCAAAAGATTAGTTGCCAGAGCTAGTCTTCAAAAGCCAAATAAAAATAAAATCCTAACCCCATTAGAATTATATAATTATGCTAAAGAAAATATTAATGGAATTCAATTTGAATATGTTCCAATCAAGAATATATCGAAGGGGAATTAGCCCTTCGTAAAAGATTTAATTCTGCACTGCCCGTCCTCAAAAAATTCACGGGGTTATTCTCATTGAACAAAATAGACTAAAAACCAAAATATATTCAAATTCCAAAAAATATAATATAAAACAAGTTTCGTTTTAAAATGAGAAAATTATATTTAAAAATATTAATGGATATGTAACATGTGTATATGATGATAAATGGTGGTTAGGATATATAATCGATAAACTAAATACAAATGAAGAAGTTAAAATCCGATTTTTACACGCTTGTGGACCTTCAGCATCATTTAAATTTCCTCTGAAAGATGATATTTTAGTGTTGCCTAAATCTCATATTCGCTCGCTGGTCAATCCTTCTACTCCCACCAGTCGAACATATATATTATCTCCTGAAGAAATCTCACAAGCTAGCCAGGCTTTGTATTCCTTTAGATGAAGTAAGATTTAATTAATTTTTAAACTATCTTAATTAGGCAAAATTTGTGAAGATTTTAAAAATTTCATGATCTGAATTACGAATAAATATATATAATGCACATTGTAATCGATTTAGTATGATATAATACATTAAAATATTTTTAATCAATAAAAAAAATGAATTTTAACATATTAAAACTATTATATATAGCGCCATCTATTTTTTAAATAAATATCGCAATATTTTTTTAAATAAATATTCACCCATGCTAATTGTTGAAGAAATTATTAAAAAAATAGTAAACGGATAATATTTCTTAAAAAAATTAAAAATCGGAGATCATATTCATTTCGAAATATTAATTTAAAATTTTCAACTGACCATAAGATGACCCATATTTTATCAAAAATTAATTTTGATGTTTTCGCCATAATCATCAATTATTAACTTAGCTATTGATATTAGATTGATCATATTTATTTTAAATTAAAAAATAATTATTTAACATCAGTAAAAAGCAAAAAAGACGTTTTTTGGACCTTTAACCCCGATTATCTACGCTAATATAGTTGCTAATGTGCTAAAATTTTGTCTATAATCTAATGGGAACATATATAACCAGCCTACGATTTTTTATCGAAATCGAAAGGGGTCGGCCGAAAAGTGATTGATTTGACATGGAATGACCTATAGGTGGATGGAGAAGGCGAGCTTATATTTTAAAAAAAATTTGAATAATGCGAATTTATGAATTTTCTACTCATAAAATAAAATATTTAGGGACTGGCTGGGCAACTTATGTAAAATATTTCTCGGCCATACAAAGCGAAAAATGTTACGAATTAGTAATGATCTATCGCTAGTAAAAACTATTCCAAATAAAGGGATCATCAGGGTAATTATGATAGCAATTTTATTTTGTGGGCGTTTGAGGTAGTGGTTTGATTTGTTATAAAATATTGTAACCCCCCCCCTCCCCACTAAGTATTTTATTTTTCAACAAACCTTGCAAGAATCCATACAGAGCGTAAACTCCTAAGCGTTTATTTCTGAGAGGAATGTTTTGATATGCAGTTCCGTTAATCATAATAGGTTTATCATCGCTCCAGTCACTGAGCCAAAAATTGGCAGCTACCGAAAGTGCGTAATAAACGCCGAACAGAAGAATCGCTAGGGCGAAAATGTGGTATTTCAGGGCTTTGAAGTAGGTTAGGTATAGAGAAATTTTAACCTTAAAAATTATATTCATAATAAATCGAGTTATAAAAAAGCATTTGGTCAAATACATAGTTGTTAAAGTAGCGAAATACTTTTTCCCAATTATTTATTTTTTTAGCGCGCTCCTTTTTTTGAAATTAATTAACTACTTTCAAATTTTTATGATTTATTATTTATTTTTGAAATTTATATTTTCAATTTAGATTATAAACCTAAATCGTCTAGTGTATATTATTTAAAATGTCATCGCAAATGGATATAGAAATCGATGTATATGAGTTAAATAATGATAAAATGAAGTGGAAGGTACCCTGGAAGTAAATGTTCTTGATAACAGTAAAAAAAATTTCCACTTCCAAAATTTAAAAAATATTTTCAAATTAAATGTAAAAACAAAAGGTGGCTACAAATTTATTTGTATCCTCAAATAAATCTAGTAGCCATAACCTCAAAAAACACCTAAAGATAATTGCCATATTTAAATTCTAATAGTATTTTTATTTTGTAAGCATGTTCTTGCCAACAGTTTTAAAAAGATAGAAAAACATTTAATAATTTTGGTATAGGGGAGACTACATCCAAAAAGACCAATTGAATTCCAACTAAGATTAATAATATTGCACATGCCAATATTTCTCAGAAACTGGCTGATAAAGTCATTGTCAAATTTATAATTGATGTAGTTCAACCAAGTCATTGGTTGATAATCCATCACTTGCCATGATGATTAAATCTCTATCCCCTGGTATAATAATAAGACTTCCACTATATTTTTTTTGAAATAAAGGGTACTAATATAATAGAAAATCCCCTAGACGCGTTTTTTCTCAATATTTTTGATAATTTTTCTTAAAATATGTCTATAAAATTAAATACTGCCTTGTCCTCAGGTGCTTGTTGGGAGATTATTTAATAAGGGAAAACTTATTCTTTCTGATCGTCGCTCTAGACTTGGGGTGATAGTATAGAAATGATTATATTATTTAAAATGCAACAAAATAAATATTACCATAAATAATTATTTTAATTACATTAATTTTAGTCTTTTAACATAAATAAACAATAACTTAACTATATTTAATTATTTATAAATGTTGATTTTTGTGAATTAATGCAAAAAATAAAAAAAAATTATAAAAGGTAGCCTTGGCTACTTTTAAAAATAGTAGCTAATAACGCGCTACTGACATATCGCGCTACTTTTAAAAAACAACTCTGGTATATACTATATATTTCTTTTTAATTAATCTAGACAACATTTATTTATCTATATGTTGTATTCCATATTAAATCAACCAAAAAAAGTCGATTCTCAACCCGACCCCCCTTCAATTTTTTTAAAAATTTGCATGTTGGTAGTATATACACTAACTAATAAAAATGTAAAATTTTACTTTTCAAATAGCCTTACTTCATGAGATATGGCCATCTTTAGAAAGGCGGAAATTCCAAAATACGCTATATTTAATTTTAAATATCTCAAAAAGTAATTAAGCTAAAGACATGATTTTAATTTTATTAAATAGCTCTAGAATAGCTCTTTATTATGTTATAAAATTTATTTTAATGAAAATAAGTCTATTACCAAAAACCGGAAATGACTAAATAAAAATTGCTCTTTTTTTCTTTTAAATTTTTTTTACAGATAGACATTATACTTCTTAATATTTGTACAAAATTCTAGATTGGGACGAGTACTGGGCCAAAAGTTATTACACTTTAAATATAAGTAATATGGCTTAAATCCTATATTATACTAAATGTATAGTAAATTACGAAACAAATAAAAGAAAATTCGTTTGGGATCGGGCCGGATATTTTTTTTCATAAATCTTTCTGGCCGTGCTAGAAAAATTAGGTCCTATGCAGATCACTAGTAGACATTGTGTCATATTTAGCACATAAGTATAGCTATTTTTTTAGAAGGAAAATAATTGTAAGTAAAAATATTTATAACTTTATTTAGATAATTAATGGGAAATTAATATTCTAATAAACATATTAAGTAAATAATATCATACATTAAATAATGAAATGAATTAGAATAAAATTTGACTTTCATTTTGCCTTCCATTGGAATAAATGAAATATATTTTTGTGTCCCGGGAATTCGTTTGGCCATTAAAAATCTATTTTCAAGATTGATTTCCATTCTTAAATATTCTAATGCTAACAAATATATAATTAATTTCCGGGATAGATTCTCACATAATTATATAAATCAATAGTAGTTATTATATGATTTTCATGAGGACGTTGCAGGCTTGCTCTAACCGCCAACCTCTTAGTAATTTCCCCTAAACTATCGCAAGATTTGTATTTTTTCATTGCGAGAGCTTGTAGCAAATTTTTCTTTCAGTTGATATATCATTTCGGCTTCATCTTTTTTTGCTTGATTCTCTATATTTATTTTAAAAACTTTTTTAATTTTTCCCTGAATTTTCAAAAATTTATTTACAGGATATTTTTTTTCATTTAACCTTTTCTTTTTAATAGGTGTCTCCACTAAAAATGGCAAAGTTTCATTTAAAAGTTAAAATTGAAGTATTAAAATTTGTATAAGATTTGGGATTATTGCATGGTTGATTAGGTTCAGAATCGCTAAATATTTCATTAATAGTTGAGGTAGAAGGTAAGTTAGAAATAGAAGGTAATGTGATGGAGATCGTAGAAGTAAAAGGTAAGATGGGATTTGTTGAATATTTTTTTAATTTTTTCCGAGAACTATAAATTTTTTGATTAATTGATAAGCTAAAATTCACTTGTATCATCCACTGTAAAACACCTCTAAGATCGTAACGTACTGAATGAGATTTCATTCGAAATGGGTTGCAGCACTTTACAAGAATTGTAGACATTTAAAATATAATTTTTTTAAATTAATAAATAAATTTAATTTCTTAGAAAAAGGGCTTTGTAAAATTAATCGATAAAAATGACGGCTTTTACTGTTGGAATTAATTATGAATATTGACTTTATGCCAAATATAATTATTTTATTTTAATTAATTATAAGTAGATAAAAATAATCTTTAAAATAAAAATAAATTTCTGACGATCACAATAATAATTACTTATCTGGCAATGAAAAATAAACTTCATCATTCACTCACAGAGTTGCCAGGTCAAAAAATCTCGAATTTAGAAATTTGGGACGTATATAATCTTTAGTTTGGGGTGAAGAGATTATTGCTCTCACTTTTTATTATCATAGTTGTTAATTTATTACTTTTTACAAAATCTTATTATTTATTCCTTATAATGCCTCCAAATTAAAGCGTTTTGCGTTATATTTAAAATAATACAATACAATTTGGTAAATGTTGTTTTGAGTTTTTTAACATTTAAAAAATGCAAATAAGATTTTTTAGGATTCTAGTTTTAATGCTATTATTCACATATATTGCCCACTTTTTTAAAAAATAATTACTCTATATTTGGTATAATATAGGATTTAAGTAATACTGCTTATATTTAAAGTGTAATAACTATTGACCCAGTATTCGTCCCAATCTAGGATTTTGTACAAATATTAAGAAGTATAATGTCTATCTGTAAAAAAAATTAAAAGAAAAAAGAGCAATTTTTATTTTATAGCCATTTCCGGTTTTCTATTTCCGGTTTTTGGTAATAAACATTTTTTTAATAAAATAAATTTTATGTCTAAAGTGCTATTCAAGAGCTATTTAATAAAATTTAAATCATCTCTTTGGCTTAATTATTTTTTGAGATATTTAAAATTAAATATAGTGTATTTTGGAATTTCGGCATTTTTAAAGATAACCATACCTCATGAAGTAAGCTAAGTTGAGAATTAAAATTTTATATTTTTACTAGTTAGTGTATATACTACCATCATACAAATTTTAAAAAAAATAGAAGTTGGACGGGTTGAATCTTCAGTTGATTTGATATGGAATACAACATATAGAATATGATTGACATATTAAATAGTTAAATATCTTGGTACAAGATTAAATATTATAGTAATCTTCCCAAAAATGGTACCGTAATAATATAAAATATCGTAAATTTAAATGCGCTACTCTTCCAGTCTCTGAAATTTCAGTTGTCATCCATCCTCCGCCATTTTCTCGTTTCACTTCTTCAAAGATCTTTTCTTTACTTCCTAATCGTTTCCTAACCATATCAGGTGTGTTATGACCATCGCTTTTTTCTTTTTCTAAATCTTCACTCAACAATCCGCTAGATTCGATACCAGGGATCCCTAATTCTAGCGATAATAATGAATCTCTTAAGGTTTCTGTTTGAGAGGTAACCTGGCCCGTATTTTTTATCAATAAGGTGGTTGATGTGCGCAATGATGAATCATCGGTATTCGCCCTTGTTTATGATTATTTTATTGTTTATTATATGACGAATGGGAAAGATGTAAATATTTTGGGAATTCAGATGGGGGATAGGTTCTAAATAGCTAAAAATTGGGAATCTCGCGTATATCTTCTAGAATTTTTAAGGTAACTTTGTAATTAATATTATAAATGCTAGGGAAACACTTGTGTAGTTTATTAAAAAATCGCTAAAAATGAAGGAAATATTAACCATATTACCAATTTGATTCATTGGCCGGGCAAATCGGAGTTTGGAAGGAGAAGCCCACAAAAAAAATTTCAAAGGGAATCATACTGGGAATATGGGTGATATTTCCTCCATTTTTAGAGATTTTTTAAAAAAACTCAATTTAAATACAAGTGTTTACTTCCCTATCATCTATGTAATCAGAAGGGTGGCTACAATTTTAAAATATGTGGTTGAGTCCTTGTTTAGTATTTATATTCTATACTTCTCTCCGTTTGCAGCAGTCTGAGTCGCTTTGCCAAAATTGTTTAAATCGCCATTTGAATTATTCATCAAGCCTTTAGGTGTAAATCCCAATTTAAAAAAAAATATAATAATAAGTCAATAAAATATTCATGATAAAGATGGTTAACTATTTATCGAGCACATTGTTAAAACATATACCATAAAATACTTAAAATATTTTAAACAATATTTCGAAGAATGATCGAGGACATACTATATATATATGACTGTGAATCCAATTATCCATATTTTATTTAATATATACAGATTTAGAAATTTTGTTTTTATCGCCATTTTGAACCAATTTTATTTATATTTCAATAAATTTACGAAAAATTTATAGGAAAACACTTTTTGTGTGCAAACGAGGGTTATTTTGTATTTATTTATAAAATTATAAGTTTTTTCTTACTTATTAATACTATCTTGGGTTCTTATCAAATGAAAAATATCAATAAATGATTGTATACATATAAAATATATTTAATTTAAATATTTCAACAAACCGCCTTCACAAATAATCGTTTCATTGTTAGTTTCATCCCACCCCGCTCGTGAACTCATGAAATTTTTTAAATTTTTGGCAAAAACACCTTCATTTTTAGCTGAGAGTTCCGTATAAGTCCCCTGTTCAACTATAATCCCATCCTTCATGACCAATATTCTGTCTACCTCGGGAAGTATATGGAATGCGTTGGTAACCAATAAGCGGGTCTGAACGTTGATAAAATATAAAAATTTATATAAAAACTAATCAAAAATGGGTGGCTTTTATCGAGATGATTACTTTTGGAGGTTAAAACACATAATATTTTTCAATTCAATTCAAAGTTTCTAATATTTTATATTTCAAGATTGTTTATTTATTTGCCCTTCTGTCTGTTTTTTTCTCTTTAATATAATGTTTTAAACCTTATGTTTAAGCACCCCGCTGGGTCCCAGTACGTTCTCAAAAATGTGTCTTCCTACGTGGACATCTACCGAGCTCAAAGGGTCGTCGAATAAGTAAATGTCAATTAATTTTTTTCGATAAACCGCCCTGGCTAGTGAAAGTCTTTGCTTTTGGCCGCCTGAAAGATTTACGCCTTTTATTGTTACCGAAATAATATATGTTCAGTAAAAATAATTAAGAGCTTAGTGACTTTAGCTAGAACATTATAAGGCTCTAACTCCTCTTTGATCAATTTCGAGAGCGATTTAGCCCATGCCATCTGGTTACCATTATAGGAATGATAAATTATTACATAAAAATATATATTAAAAAACTTTCTTGGAAGGAAAGTGATGTAAGGGAGTAGATGAGACCCCTAAGGATACCCAAAGGTGGAACTATAATCCAACAAGATGTCAATGTCGGTAACAAAAAAATGTCAATATTCTGGGTCTTCTTTCTTATTAAAACAAATTGTAGTTATAAAATCGTTTTAATTCAATGATCCAAAACCATTTTATACCTCATTACTATAAATACTCCCCTACCCTTTTCATCCTAATTAGATCCTAGTCATTTTTTAAACCTTTTTCCCCAATCTCGGTGTCATCCCCATTTGGCAGTAGGTAATCGCGATCTCTGATCAAGTCGCAGGTTTGTAAGGCCTGTATATATGCGAGAGAGTCGAACGGGAAGGGTGCTTCGAAGGTGACGTTATCACGAAGGTTAGCATTTCGGATCCAGGGCTGTTGGGAGGTGTATGCTACTGATCCTCGGATTTTTACCATCGGATGTGAAATGGTGGCAAAGGATATCTTTAATTTTTGTGGTTGTTATAAGTTATTTTATCTATACACTTGGGTAGGAGCTATCTCAAATAGGGCTGGCATAAATTATTTTATTAAAAAATATTTTAAAAAAATAGATTTATTTGATTAAATCATAATTTTTTATAAAAATCGATTTATCTGATTATATCATGTTTTTGAATTTAAACTAACATTTAGAATAAAATAAAAAGATGACATGGAGAAAAATACTCCCTAGGCAAAGTTATTAATCAAACTTGCATTCATTCTATTACAAAGCCTGTGGAATTTATAAATATTTAATATTTGCCTATAAATAATAATTTGATAATAGAATTTATAATTATATTTAAATGTTAACAATATTTGATTATTGTAATTAATATAATTTTTATATAAATATAAGCTAGGGCTTGTGCCGATCTACATATATTTCACCGATCTAATCAGATATTAGTTCAAAACCGATCCAATATTTATTTTTTACCATCCCCCTTTGAATCAAATGTAATAAAAAAAATTCATATTTTCTATAAAAATCAAATTATAGATTTAATTTTATTTATAATTTAAAAAAAAATTATATATAATAATGTATGCATTTTATTTTGAATAGTATTATGAATATTAAAATAGTAATATATGATAAATAAAATTATAATCCCCGTTTTTCATGGCATAGGCTATATTAGGCTCAATATCTCGAATTGTTAGGTTATTTTGTTTTTTTATCCTCCAATAATTTATCATCTCGTCCAAATTACGAGCAAAGTTAATTGCTGTATACGACACATTAAATGTTTTAACATTTAAAACTCTATTTGTTCGTTTAAAGTCTTGTGTTAATGAGATATGATAATCGTCACATGAATTTAGAGTCCATATATCTATGGTAAAGGAAAAATAAGAATCATCAATAAAAATTTCTTTAAATATTTTTTAGGAGAGTTTTTCATATACATATCAAAAGAATAACTCTTCGTGGAGAATACTTCCTATTGATAATTTTATAATTTGGACATAAATGACGTAAAATAAAGCCGTCTTCCTTCAAAATTGAAATCGGCTGGTGGTCACAGATTATCATTTCTCCTATAAAATTAGAAATAATTATGGATTTAGGATAACTTTTCAAAATATTAGTTTTATTAAAAATGGTTTAAAATTTGAGTTATTTTTTCTAATATTTTTCGTTCTTTTTGTATTAACTCTTCGTATGAAGTTTGATGGATTCATTTTAAATGTTTATGGAAATTGGTAGTATTAAATAACAATTTTTATTATTCTCCCCAGTGAAATTCGATTTCCGCAGATAGCGCATTTAGCAAAATTATCTTTATCTTTTGTAAAAATTCCTTTATTTAAAATAAATAAAACGTTAGGTGTTCTTTTCAATTTTTATAAAATAAATAAAATTTTGGGTTTTGCGGTTTGGATCAGCTTGTACTACTATTAAAAAGGCAAATAAGCTAAAATGTCTGAATGGTACTTATAAGTTTAAATACAAATATGGAATTAACATGGTCACCAAAATATTTCATTTTAGCTATAGCTGATATACATAAGTTTTATAAATAGCTAGCTTTCTTATTAGATCTTTGAGTCTCACTTTATTGCTATAAAAAATCCTATATCAGTAAGATGGACATGTTTAAATTTTTATTTTGAGTATGTAAAACAAATGAGATTTGATAAATAGGAATCGAATAATTATATTTTTTTTATTGATAACATAACACCTCTTATAATATTATATTCTACTCCTTAACTTTCCATTTTCCAAACATTAAATCATTTATTAAAATTAAAACAAAGTGAAAACTTACAAAGACTTTTGCTAATTATTAAATTTAATATAAATAAGAATAGTAAATATATAATAACAAACATTGAAAGAAGATCAGCATACACATATAATGCCATTTAATAATCACATAAATGAAGAAAATAAATATAATCTTTTATCAATATTAAATGCAAACAATTTCATGATTCATAAGAGGTAGAGTGGATCTGATGTTCATTTAATTTCAGAAATGATCTGCTTCTTTAAAAAAAACATTATTGCCAATATAATTCATATTTTACTTGGAATCCTTTTTTTTATCTCAAGATGTATATATATAAGTAATTATTGCTAAAAAAATATTTGAAGAATGTTTAGGTGTTTTGTCGCGAGACTTTATGTTAAATTTTGCTTAAGGTAAAAATTTATATGTTCTAATATATAAGAGGCTTATTGCTAAATTTTATATTTTACAAATATTATATCAACATTCTTTGGAGTGGCTAGGTGAAGATTCCTTCAAATATTTTTTAGCAAAAATTATGTCATTGGCTATTACTACTTATACCACTTGAGATAAAAAAGGATCCAAAGTAAAATATGAATTATATTTGCAATAATGTTTTTTAAAGAAGCAGATCAATCCTAAAAATTATAAGAACATCAGATCCCCTCTATATGAATGATGAAATTGATTTGCATAATATTGATGAAAATGTTTTTCATTGTGGATGAAATTGTTTTGCATTTAATATTAATGAATTTGTTCAGCATTTAATATAATAGATTATATTTATTTTATTCGATTGCGTGAATATTTAATAGCATTATATGTATATGCTGATCTTTTTTCAATGTTTGTTATTATACCATTCTTATTTGATAATAAATTTTAATTATTTGCAAAAATCATTGTAAGTTTTCACTTTTGATTTAATTTAATAAATGATTTTATGTTATGAAAATGGAAAGTGGGAGTAGAATTTATAATTGTATATATAAATCGAGCATAACAAATTCAAAATGATATATATAAAAAAAATCATAAATCGAAATAAAACTTTTTATAAAAAATGAAGTAATAAAACTATTATTTTGTAAAAAAAACTAACGTTCTCTTTAATCTCCCTTTGAAAGTTCGTCGAATTAACAATCTTCATCTCCCCAAGAAGTGCGGAAAGTAGAGAACTTTTACCTGAACCTACAGCTCCAACGATGGCTACCAATTGACCTTTCTCTACGGTAAAATTTAAATTTTTGAGCACTGGACTGTTATAATTATTATATTTGTTGTTAAGACTAATAGCTGAATCGTTTAACTGAAAAATAGTATCGCCGTTCCCTTTCGTCACTTTTCCTACTTTGTGCGCTTCGGTTGTTAATTCAGGAGTATCTTCGATCTGGGAACCTTTGGGGAAATCCCAAGCGAAGTTGCTGTTTTTCACGATGATTACATCATTGTTAGCTTACAAAAGATAGAAAAATAAAAATTGTATAAATAATTTTTTTCTAGTTATATAATAATATATTATAAAAATTAAACTAGTAACGGATTGTTTAGCACTCAAAAACTGGTAATAAAATGTTCCTGTATTTTTAAATTTAATTTATATTAAAAAAAATAATGAGAAAAAATAAGAATCATCATTTAATAATCGATTTTCAAGGATCAATGGGTTAGCCAATTGCCTCTTGATATTTTTTTCTCTATGTTGCAAGGTAGGGTGGACTAATAAAAAATCAATTTGATAAAAATCGCAATTTAAATAACCCCTATTAAAAAATGTTTTTTTAATAGGCCTTATATTTACAAAGTTTTACCTAAATACTTAATATAGTGAAAGAGAAAAATTTAGATTATCTTAAATTTAATTCTTAAATCAAAAATACCAAATAGCAATAATAATCATTTAATAAATTTAAATCTACTTGATATATTTTGATTTTTATTCTCTATATTTATGCAATATTTTGCTATAAACAATTCCCCCAAAACTTGTAATTAAGATTTTTTTAAATGATGGATTGAATAAACAAATATTCCTGTAAACTTTTACATATTAAATAGTTCGATTTGTTTAAAAAAACATATATATATGTGATATACATATCATGGGCTTTTTATTTGACAGAATATCAAATTATATCATAGTTTATCAATATGTATTTATTAAAAATTTTCTGGCAAAGTTTCCTAAAGCATTGAACCTTTATTTGCAAGGAAAAATTGTACGTAGGAAAAAAAAGGTTTTTATTATTTTTCAGTCTAAATCCATAATTCTCTAATTAAAATTTTAGTTATTTTATTAAAATCGCGATTTTTGTCAACCCTATTACTTAATGTTGAGCGTTAATGGAGTAAAGTTTTAAATCTGGAATTTAAATAAAAAATATATTATCATTTATGAATACTATCATTCGTATTAAGGGTTTCTCTGATGACACAATTGGGTTCTATTTCATCTTGGAGTAAAAATCTGCATAGCCGTTTTAAGGATACTCTAGCCTATATTATAAATTATAGGCATGTTAAAAAGTTAATACATAAATTTGGTAAAATGTTTTTTTCATGTAAATTATTGCTTGTTTCATATATTAACATTATATATGAATGACACCAGAATTTAGAAGATATTCACAGCAGAATTTAGAGGATATTCAATTGTATGTATTTTATTTAGATTTAAAGAGAAATATATAAAATATTTATGAAGATTCAGAAATAATAGACAGTATTAAAACAATTTTAATAGCTAATCATTAAAATAACTAAACAATTTTAAACAAGAAAATGACATTTTTTTAAGATTACACAATAATATATAATCAATAAAAAATATTATTATATTGGCATAGCCTGTATAAAAAAAACGTTATTGAATACCTCTATCGTGAAGGTTATAATAATGGGAAACATGGATAGTGGGAAATGCAAAAGATTGAACAAAGCTAAAGACACAAAAGCCTTCTCGGCATCCAATATATGTTCGGGATTGCTTAAAACATAGGTGGCAAAAGTCGCGCATGATACCTGTATATCGAGAAATATATATCATTCTCTTTTACTATTTATATTTGTTTATGAATTCATTAATTAATTTTTTCTGTTTCTTATATTTCTGGAAAAATAGTAAAACAATTTTTACGATATTATAGACATTATAAAAGTTAAAATATTTGGCAAAAAAAATGTGGGATAAAATTTTACAAAATGAAAAATAGATAGGATAGGTTAACATTCAAAATCAATTCTGGTTGGCAATTTTATGAAAAAAAGAAGATTCAAAATAGTTTTTATCGTCTGCTAATAAATATTATTTGTCTGCTATCCTATATTTACGTTTAGGAAAGTGTCTGAGATTTTAATGGAAAAAAATTAGACTTAAGGTTTCCAATGACTCGAACAAAATTTTAAACACATTTAGGTAGTCTTATATATATGAACCGGAATACTTCATTTTTAAACATGTTTTTAGCTTTTAAAAAAATTGTAATGTGATATTGAAAAGAATAGTTGCAAGAAAAAAACAACATTCCTTATTTTATGTCAGAATATTCCATTTTTAATATTTTATATCGGCTTCTTTGTAAAAAAAACAAGCGCGTGGCCGTGAATTCTCAAAGGATAAATCGTAGAACAATGTGCAAAATGAATAATTTTTTTTTAGCTTTGTTCGAGTTTTGCGAAAAATACCTTACTCTATATTTAAAGGTTAATTGTGAAGGAACATGACAAAGACATTTCCATTGAAAAAATTTCTGAAAAATTATCGACTAGTAAAGAAACAGTTGGAGACAATTTAAAAAAGTTGTAAAATTCTTAAGCAAACGATTCTAAATGCAAAAATGGAAAATAATTAGAGACAAAGAGAGATGATCATTGAGTCTTAGTAAATAAAATAAATGTTAAAGTCTGAGTGAAATAAAATCTAAATCGAATTTTAAAATTGGTAGGAATGTTCCAATAAACACAAGCATTGAAAGATTGAATCGGTGAAAAAAAAAGTAAAAAAGTTTGTTTTATTTTTTCACATAATTTTTAAATATACTACGTTTATTTAAAACAACGAAACATTTTTTAGACAAACATATTTCTAAAGTTCAATTTGTAAGAAACTATAAAGTTAAAAAAAGCCCCCCCCCCTCTAAAAGCAAGCAAAAGCAAAAAAAGAGTGTATGGGCGAAAGAACATAAAATGTATTATGATGGTTCAGCGTTATTTTAAGCCATAAATCAAAAATTTTTTTTTATAATTTATAATTTCTAATTTATATAAGATGAAAGATTAAATGTACCTATTTCCTTTAACTTTTTTTAATTTGTTTGTAATCCTTTATAAAATTTTAAAAAAATATTCTTGGCAAACTATATGACGACGTTATGTTAAAATCCTTTTTAATATAATTCATAAATATATAATATATAAAATATATTTTGAAATATGTTACTAAGAAAGGAGCACAACACCAAATGAAGGAGAAATAAGCCAATAAGAATGCTATTTTTTTGAGTATGTCCACTTCTTTATTACGTATTTTAAGAATTTTATCTTCGAATGATAGTTCCCAAGCGTATAATTTAATCACTTTTATCCCGTTTAAAACTTCGTTCATAATCTTGATACGTTCGTCTTTCAATTTCATTTGGCTAGCCTTGAGATAATTTTTTTTTAAATAAATAAAATTACTTTTATTTTATGATTAAAAAATCAGCAGCTCTCTTAGAGCTAATTTCCTTAGGGAATTTAGAACACTTTCAGTTTTAACAGTCTAAATATCAGGTAAAACTTAGGGAGCAGCCTCAGAATTGGCCGATTTTTTTACGGGGTGGGGTCATAATACAGCTAAACACCAGCATAGTCTGGGACTGGGATTTGCCCAATTCTGATGTAGGTTATGGGAGGTGTTTCAACGAAACTTCTTTCGATTGAAAATGTCGATTAAGGTTGGCAAAAATTGTAATTATAAAAAAATTTATTTGTATAAAGCATAATTTTTTTTGATTTAAATCAAATTTAATAAAATACAAATAAGCCCTGGAAGAAAATAATACCAAACACTATTTAATCTTATTGTTAACGGAAATTTTGTCGCTAATATTTTTTCCCTCTTTATAATAGCTAATATAATGATAGAACACACAGGCACTAATAAAACACAATATAGCAGATATTTTATAATTAGTGCTTCCAATTGTTCAGACAACTTTAACGGAGCTGATATGAAGATATTATACGATTCAAAAAATCTAAATACAAATACAAATAACCATATGAAAATCTAAAATATCAATAATTTTTCATAAATTGAACACGGCCAAAGGATGGCAAAAAAAAAAACTATTTGACTAATTTAGAAATAAAATCTTTCTTAACATGTAAAAAAGAGAACAATAAGTTGCAAAAAATTAATTAAAAAATAGATAACATATTGAACCCAGTTGAATTTTTTTTTAAATTAAGCATTATACTTGAAGCTGTGTTATCTTGTTAGCCATAACCGCGTTTAGTGGTATCAATAAAACCATAACCAACAGACCAGATAAAACGGAAGGTCCGAGGATATTCCACAAAAATATCATGCAAATACCTATTTGAAAAGGGCCACTCCATAATAAACTAACATAGGAGCATACTTCCGATACCTTTTGAGTGTCCACTGACATCAGATTAACTATTTCACCAACCGTGGATGTTTTGCGGGCAGAATTAGAGAGTCTTAAAGCCTTTAAGTATTGAGTGAGAATAGAAGAAAAAAATTGGACTAAGATTTTTTTTAAAAATAAAATATATAAAAATGCCAACTATTTATAAAGCAGATTTATGTAAATTAGAAGTAAACCCATTCTATAAATTGAGCGAAACCGGATGTCAATAATTAATAATTGTTTGATGGTATGCAAAATATAAGTATACTTTTTTGTAAACGGCACAAATTAGAATGGTTTTGATGCGCATACCTATCGCAAATACAATTTGAAAATATTGATTAAGGATTATGGTTTGTAAGATAACTGCGGCTAACATTGTGATAGCATAAAATACGCCAATCCATAAAGACTGGCTTTTGGAGTTCACGAAAGATATTAGATATCTGAAAATTAAATTGAGTTTTAAAATAACATATATATCATTTTATGATTAAATAAATTTCCAGATGAATCATACCCGATTGAAATAATTGAGATTTATTAGTAATTATAAAAATGTTAGAGTTTAACACCCGCCCTGTAAACTCGATTTTTTTTTCAAATTAATTGCAATTAGAGATTGGTAATCGGTTCGACCCGTACCCGGGTCTATTTTTTAAAAAAAATTTAGGTTCAGGCTAGGTCATGCTTATTTTTTTTAATTTTGGGCCGGGCCGGGTGGACTTAAATTTTTAAATATAATATCAATACTTATTATCAAATAGGTTGATATATTTTAAAATTCTAGCAAGAAACAAGACGTTAATAATTTTTTTATATGTATAATATTTTTTACAATAAAAAAAGTATTAAATTTTTCTATATTTAAATAAATTAGGGATGGGCCAGGCCAGCTGGACAAATAAAAATATATTTCGATCAGAATAGGGCTGGGCAAAACATATTTTTTTTAAAAAAATCGGGCTAGATATGAGCTTGAAATAGGCCGATTCACATCACTAATTGCAATTGCTAATATGCAAATAGAGTCTTTTTTCCTTGAAAGGTGGAGAGGAGCATGTTAGATTAAACTTTTAATATTCCAAATTGGGTGTTAACTCAATTTTTATAAAAATATATAGATAAAAAAATTGTGAACCAAGATATATTCTAATTAAGAAATTTAACTCAACTTTAATATCTGAGGACTAAGAAAGATGAGCAAGTCACTGACGAGTTTGTAAAGTATACTTTGACATATAATACTTTTAAAGCAGCAAAATAAAACGAATGTCAATGATGGATTGAGTTTAATTGACTCATCTTCTGAATGAAATTGGGGTTTTGGCGAATTTTCATCAAATGCCTTGGCACCTCGCAGTAATTTTTGGCTAGTGGAAGTTTTATAGATGCCTATTTCAGGATTTTTATGCATTCGAGTGGATTTATTGGTCGGGAGACGATTATGAACGCATAAGCTAAAAACGTTAGTGGGTCATATGGGATTTGATGATGCAATGATTTAGAAAAATAAATTCAAATTTAAATAACGGCAATAATATAATAGATACACTTATGCATTAAATAATTATATAAACTCGTAATTTTCCTTCATATCTGCAAATAATGGAATTAAAAAATTTCACAATAATTTGAAGCAATAACTATAAAGAACAAAGAAAAAAAAATAGTGCAAATATAAAGGATATGTTTCCTCCCTTTAAAACTTTCTTCAGAATTTTAAGCGAAAAAATTGGTCAAACAAATTTATAATTTCAATAAATAAATTAAGTGCACTGTGATTAATTTTTAATTAACACAAATTCCCCACAAATCAAAACAGTTTTATTTGCAGATTATAGTGAATAAGATGCCAAGTAACTGATATTAATATTTCTTTACCAGAGACCTCTTGAGTTAAAATCTTAAATCCGGCATGAACTTAATAATACTATTTTTCAAGTCTGCCCATTTTTTTTCTTGGCTTGTTTTTTTAATCAATACCCGGCCAGTATCATAAATTCCTTTTAAAAAGAGTATTCGAATATTTGAAATAATTCGAATACTTGTTATGAGAACTTTTCCTTACTTAGTTTTTATTTTCCTTCAAATATTTGATATATTTTCCATATAAATATCAACAAGGTACCACAAGTATAAGTATAATTAGCATCTATGTGAGCTTAATCTTTAGAATTTAATTATAGAGAATTGAACTATCGTAAAAGCAATGAATATTATATAATTGTAATTAATTTCGTCAGTTATATATATCTTTTATAAAATCAATATAAATACATCAATTAATCATAATACACAATTAACAAATATATTTGAATAACAATTAATCCTATTAACAATTGCCATTATCTTCAAGGTTGATTCAATTATATCTATTCTCTCTTTTTGAGCTCTCAATTTGAAAAGGTAATCAATGTATTTGGCTATCGATTTTTTTTATAGGATCAATGTCTTTGGCTATCGAGTTTTTAAATTCATGATATATAATTTTATTTTTAATGGGTAATATACATTTACCTCGAATATTGATTGTTAAATTACTATAAGATTTTTAAAAAATATCCGTTTGATATTTTTAAATGGTAAACATCCGCAATATTTAAAATGGAGACTGTCGATCCTATGTCAATTAAAAAATTAATATATATTTTATCTATCAATAGTTTCACCTCAAATTTTTTCCGCGACTATTCCGGAGAATCCCAATCCTCAAAACATTCTAGCCCTTTTTTGGGACATCTATCTTTCGAATATATTCTTTCCTAATACTTTCTGTAAATGTCTTTTATACCCCAATTATGACAAATTGAAAATTTGGGTACTTTAGTAGTTTTATATTGTTTTCTAATCCACAACAATAATAAATAATTTTTGATATTGGTTTAAAATTTTTATACTTCTCCCTTGTCACTGTTTTTGATATTTTATTTATTTCATTTCTTGCAGATAATTTTGTATACGTTATCATTTCCGTAGTCTCCATTGATGTAGCGATTTGAACAGCCTTTTTCCCATGTCAAGTCTGGAGTGTTGATTAACTTTATTAATATTTTTTCATTCGTAATTCCCGAAACGAATTTATCACGTAACACTTTATTTTACATCTTTTTAAAATCACAAGTGTTTGCTTTTATCTTTAATTTATTTTATATATTCTGTAATAGTTTCTCCTTATCTTTGTTCCATTTTGAAAAAATAATATCTCTCAAAGATAAAATTAGTTTTCTTCGAGTAATAATTTTTTAAAAGTTAATAAGTAATGTCTTCAGTAAACACAAAGTAAATAATTTATTTTGGCGATTGTAAAAATGAATTCCATCTTTGATACACTCCTTTATATTCAATTTTTCCTCGGCTGCGCCATTGAACTTTCATGAAAACAATCAATTATTTTATTATATATTTGCAATAAATTTCGACAGTTATATAAAATCAATATATTATTGATAACACATAATTAACAAATATATTTGAATAACAATTAATCTTATTATCAATTGCTTTTATTTTCAAGGTTATAAAAGCAATTACAAGAATCTAGTAATAAGGAATATTCAATGAAAAATATTTCTTAACACAATTTAAATAAAGATTTGTTTTTTATTTTATACATATAATATCTTAGAAGAATTCGATCAGAATTATGATCTTTGCGAATCTTGTAAGGTATTTTAAATCATAATCATAGTTACTGCAACAGACCATGACCTACACTATTGCAAGGATTATAAAGTAATCAATTAATATATCCCTTAAAAAAATCGTAAAAAGGTTAAAATATTACGTTTTTTGGACTTTCTGTTCAAACTTGTCTATATAGTGGTACCAATGTTTATCGAATAATGAACAAAGTTTCAACGAGCTATCTTTATCGGCCAACTGCCACAAATCCAATTTTGTCAGAGGACATTTGCTACCATATAAGACTAATCTTTGTTGTAAAATGTCACACGAAAAATTATAGTTAACATTTTGATTAGAAATGAATTCATATTTTTATTTGCCAAAATTCACAAGTTTTCGATAAAAAAATGCATATCGAAATGAAGAGTATATTATTTATATAATTTTCAATCTCTAAAAAATATAGGATCTGTTAATTTGATATATAATAAAATACTTTTTTATAATAATATCATTCATACAATTTATAAAGCCATGACGTTCTTTCCATTTAAAAGTGCCAAAAAGTCAGAAATAATAATTCAGGCATAGAACCCTGCAAATTACATTTATTCAATCAGAGTCTGGCCTGAAATTATAAAATTTGAAAAAAAAACACATAACCCCATGTAGTGTTGTTAATTAGTCTAGTTCTTTCGACTATGACTAATAGTCGTAGTAATGGAAATCGACTAAAAACTTTAGCGACAAATTAGTCTATTAGTCGACTAATTTATTCGACTAAAATGACTAATTTATTCGACTAAGTTGATCTATTTAGTCAGCATAGCCGACCCATTTATTCTACATGCTTAATCGATTAATTTAGTCGACTATCAATTTTTTGAGCCTAACCGAACCTGACCACTGTATAGTCGGGGTTAATCTAGTTCTTCCGACTACTTGAGATATCAGAGAAAAGTCACAAATCTCATATTCGTTATTTTTAATAATATTTTGTTTTTCTTAATTTTTTTGGATCAAATTGGCAAAAATATACATGTTAAATTTAAATTAGGATGTATCATAGAAAAGTGGCAATTGCCATAATCGTTATTTTTGAAGTTTTTTGAGTTATTTAAGGTAAATAGGTAAAAATATGTTATATAACCATGTTAAATTAAAATTTCAATGAAGATGTATCATAGAAAAGTGACAATTGTCATAATCGTTATTTTTGAACTTTTTTAAATTAAATAGGTAAAAATGTATATTGTAAACATGTTAAATTAAAATTTCAGTGAAGATGTACCATAGAAAAGTGATAACTGTCATAATTGTTATCTTTTAAACCTTTTGAATTTTTAAGTAAATATGTAAAAATCTATATTGTAAAGATGTTAAAATAAAATTTCAATGAAGATGTACCATAGAAAAGTGACAATTGCCATAATCGTTTTTAAATTTTTTTTAAAGTAAATAGGTAAATATATATTTTGTCAAGATGTTAAAATAAAATTTCAATGAAGATGTACCATAGAAAAGTGACAATTGCCATATTCGTTTTTGAATTTTTTTAAAGTAAATAGGTAAATATATATTTTGTAAACATGTTAAATTAAAATTTCAGTGAAGATGTACCGTAGAAAAGTGATAATTGTCATAATCGTTATTTTTAATCTTTTTTAATTTTTTTAAAACAAATGGGTAAAAATATATATTTGTAAACATGCTAAATTAAAATTTCAGAAGATGTACCATAGAAAAGTGATAATTGTCATAATCGTTACTTTTAATCTTTTTTGAATTTTTTTAAAATAAATAGGTAAAAATATATATTGTAAAGATGTTAAATTAAAATTTCAGTGAAGATACCACAGAAAAGTGACAATTGTCATAATCGTTATTTATAATTTTTTTTGAATTTTTATCTTTTTTGAATTGTTTTAAAATAAATAGGTAAAAATATATATTGTAAAGATGTTAAATTAAAATTTCAGTGAAGATGTACCATAGAAAAGTGACAATTGTCATAATCGTTATTTAAAATCTTTTTTGAATTTTTTAAAAAAAATAGGTAAAAATATATATTATAGTGATGATAAATTAAAATTACAGTGACCATAGAAAAGTGACAATTGTCGTAATATTTTTGAATTTTTTTAAAGCAAACTGGTAAATGTATATTATAAATATGTTAAATTAAGATTTCAGTGAAGACACAGAAAAGTGACAATTGTCATAATCGTTATTTATGAACTTTTTTGAATTTTTCCAAAGCAAATAGGTAAACATATTTATTGTAAACATGCTAAGTTAAAATTTCAGTGAGGATGTACCATAGAAAAGTGACAATTGTCATAATCGTTACTTGTGAACTTTTTTGAATTTTTTTAAAACAAATAGGTAAAAATATATATTTAAAAATGTTAAATTAAAATTTCAGTGAAAATGTACCATAGAAAAGTGATAAATTTTCATAATCGTTATTTATAATCTTTTTTGAGTTTTTTAAAAAAAAATAGATAAAAATATTTATTGTAAACATGTTAAATTAAAATTTCAGTGAAGATGTACCATTTAAAAGTGTCAATTGTCATAATATTTATTTTTAAACTTTTTTGTATTTTTTTAAAGCAAACTGGTAAATATATATTGTAAATATGTTATATTAAAATTTCAGTGAAGATACCACAGAAAAGTGACAATTGTCATAATCGTTATTTATGAACTTTTTTGAATTTTTTCAAAGCAAATAGGTAAACATATTTATTGTAAACATGCTAAGATAAAATTTCAGTGAGGATGTACAATAGAAAAGTGACAATTGTCATAATCGTTACTTGTGAACTTTTTTAAATTTTTTCAAAGAAAATAAGTAAAAATATATATTATAATCATGTTATATTAAAATTTCAGTGAAGATGTATGTACCATAGAAAAGTGACAATTGTCATAATATTTATTTTTCAACTTTTTTGAATTTTTTTAAAGCAAACTGGTAAATATATATATTGTAAATATGTTAAATTAAAATTTCAGTGAAGATACCACAGAAAAGTGACAATTGTATTTTTATACTTTTCTGAATTTTTTCAAAGCAAATTAGTATATTTATTGTAAACATGTTTTTCAGTGAAGATATACCATAGAAAAGTAAAAATTGACATAATCGTTATTTTTCAACTTTTTCAAAGCAAATAGGTAAAAATATTTATTGTAAACATGTTAAGTTAAAATTTGAGTTATTTGTACCATAGAAAAGTGACAATTGTCTAATATTAATTCTTCAACTTTTTTGAATTTTTTGCTGAAATGAGGTTACTTTTAGCCAACGCCCGTTTATCTTATTGCGGGAGCTAGCTAAATAATATTAAAAATTGCAAGCGGACCGCTTAAAATTTTTTTACTTTTATTTGTTATTTAAAATTTATTAGGTAAACATTAAAAAATATATGTTTCATAAAATTTTAACATTTTTTATACCAAAGTACAAATAACTGTTGTGGATGTTATAATTGGGAGAAGCTAATGAGATTAAAAAACTTCTTAGATTTGATCTACATGGAAGAATATAACATCGACGTGAATTAAAATATGATTTCACCCGTTTTCCCAAAAGCAAAGAAAATTCAATTATTAATTTTAAATGCAATGTTTGAAATAAGTAGCATCCACGTCAAGATTAAATCACAACAGAAGAGTAGATGAGGTTAAGAGAGGAAAGCACACTTTTAAATTACATAACCATTTAAATTTGAAAGTAAGGAGATTGATTATCTACACGTATAAATAAATTTCTTGATTTGAAAACTATTTAAATAAAAAAAAGATTAAGTTTTGTTAATTGGTTAGTTGTGTAACCCCCAGATTCGGGGTTTGGGTCTAAAAATTGACTAAACCAGCTCTCACGAGCCCCATGGAAAGACTCGGGTTCACACCTTTAATCGCCACGCTTAAAAATACAAACATGTATTTTCTTTTAAAAATATTACAAAACAGTGGGGGAGGGGGGGTTAGTTAAACCTTTTTTCACAAAATCAATTTTCATAATTCTCCCTCAAAAAAAAATTTTCACTAAATTTTTCTCGCAATTGATCATACACCCCGTTTTCTTTAAAAGTCAAAACAAATCTTTCCTCTTTTAATAATTTTTTTTCAAAAAAGGAAAATGGCGCATTTCCCCTATATTGTCAATATTATTTTTAATTCATATAATAAAATATAGTGCTGTGAAGAAACGTCAAAAAGTGACGCCAATCGTTATCTTCTTCTAGAGGTAACGAGTAACGGTAACGCGTTTCTTTTTTTTGGGCTTATATTTTTTCTTAAAAAATATCAACAAAAAGAAGGACATATTTTATTGTATTATAAAATTGCTTTTATTTATTTTTTAATTATTAATATAAATAATTTAATCCGAGTTTTAATTCATATCAACCACTGCCTTCATTTTTATTTTAAATTCTCGTTGTTAAATTTTCTGTCGAAATTAATATTCAATCAAAATTCAAAGTAAATGTTAATAATGATATTATTATTCTTATAATTTATTTTAAGAATATTATGTCCATAGTACTTACTTCTTCAGATGAAGATGATTTAACCCTTCCCTGGCCCCAATTTGAAATATATTTATTTTATACCAATAAAGAAAATTAATGGTACTAAGTCTACACTTTGGAAATGTAAATTATATCCAAACACAAATATTTCAACCTCAATGTCCAGCAGTTCAAACTTTAAAAAGCATTTGAAGGTAAAAAGATAAATTAATATATCATTATTTTAAATATTACTTTAATAATAGAATAATATTTTGAAAAGCTTAATCATGGAATTAAAATATAAGTAGGGCTGTGTCGATATTAAATATCAGATAGGATCGCCACCGATATTTAGAATTTTCCAAAAATAACGGATCGAGCCGATACCTGTAAAAACAGATCCGATCTTTTACTTTTCTTTTTTTTTGTTATTTTATTTTATGTTATGTATATTTATTTTACATTATAATATTTTCTAAATAATTTTTTTTTAAACAATGCAAATGCACAACATCCTTTAAATTTTATTCTTTTTAAAAGAGATTTATATTATTTTTAAAGTAATTTTTATTTAAATAGAAAGGAACACCCAAAGTTTTAATTATTTTAAATCTTTTTAAATAATAACGTTTTATTAATTAAACTTTAAATAATAGAATATTTTTAAATATGGTATCTGAATTATGGAAATATTTTACAAAAGACAAAGATAATTTTGCAAAATGCGTTATCTGTGGAATCATCTGAGTTTACCTTCAGTACAGCATATAGATACTCCATA